GTAGGGTAGAAGGTAGGCGAATTGAAGATCATGGTATTTTTCGAAACATGCGTCTTCTCGAACTGCACACGATTCAACGGCTTCTTGGATGACCTGTCAGTACAAAAAAAGTAGCATTCCAAACATTTTCCCTGCCGGTTCCTTGTTTCCTCAGCATTTGAATAGATACACTTTTTTTCGGCTAACGTCACTGAACAGAAAGGAGGACATGGAAATATTTATAGTTTTTTAACTCAAAAGAAACTATAATCCTTCACTACCGTTCATGATACTTAATTGTAATTATACGGTGACAGTAAGTCAGTTTTCAAGGGATCACACGGAATCGAATGCTGGCATTCTATTGATCGACATTTATCCACGACGAAACAAGTTTCGAAGACCTTCGTTCATTCAGATAACATGCTTATCAAAGGACGATCACAGAAAACAGTATGAAGAACCACTAACCCTGAATATGACCTATTATAGTACGATTAGGATTCATCCTTCTAGCAGATTCGATTAATATAAATAAAGCATAACTCTTCCAAGACCAGAATTCATGGCATCTTGCGCAACACCCTTGATCATAGACGTCTATCAGGCTATCAAGGCTGCATGGCATTTGAGCACCGGCACTGCCGGGTGCGTCACGTATCAGTTTGGTACCTAAGAACCATATTTCAGGAGAGAGAGAGTCCTCATCATATGTCACCACATAAACGTCAGAATAAGCTGGAGCATACTAAATGAAGCATAGCTCCTCCGAAAGCAAGTATCACGGCTCTCTTAGGATACTGCCCCCCCCCTCACAACCATGAGCAAGCGGACGATGCCGTAAAATCTGGTCCTGGAGCAACTCTGCCCTATTCGACTCACCGCGACATAAATGTATATTTTAATATAAATCGTGTAGGCAAGAATTAAAAGTAGCCGCAATTTGGAAATTTTTGGAGGCCAGAATTGTCAATAGCGAGTTGGTCTTCTGCCATCATTGATGACTGCGTAAAACATCGGGTTTTGGCTATGTCACAACACTGAACAGTGACACCTTCAGATATCAGTGACTAACTACTGATTTCCATCCAAGCCAAAATTGTTGTCATTCTTCTTTTCCAAGGTGTCCTCAAAACAGGTCATTCGAGAAGCGCATGAAATTGAAAAAGAAAGTTTCACCCTAATGGGCATCTCTACCCATGGGGTATTAATTATGACATGCGGTTAGAAGACGTCCTAGCTGCTGACGCAACGGCCCCAACCAAATAATCGTGCTTGGAGACGACAAGAGTCACTAAGCCCTCTAGAACTCGGTCGATTCCGCTGATCCTCGGTGCATGTCCAGCTTCATTACAAGTCGAAGTTACGGTCAAGGGTAACCCCATGTCAGCTAGACTTAGAGTTGAGCCATCTCCGAGTACACTATTCTGATACACTCACATAAGCACCCATTCACTGAATTACAGCATATCCAGTGTTGATGATGTCAGTGCTGCTGCTCTAACAACCCTTTGGATTTTTGAGGACAATGATTGTCTATGAGTTAATCAGAGAGATGAAACATAACGGAAACATTTCACAAAGCTTTTTTCAGAAAAAGTACGAACGATGGCCCCTAATCTTTTCGTCTGGGTTCCTGTGTCATCCTCTTAAACAG